ATGTTCGTTAGATAGTTTAAATGTGCACGACTGATGATAGAATCAAGTTTTTGTATAGATGTATCATATTTCATGGTGTTTTTTCTGACTGTCCGTTCTTCTAGAAGCACATTATTTCAAACTGATCTTTATACACCATTTGATAGGCCTTTTATGTTCTGCACTATTTGTATTTGATAAAGCGCACTTTCGATTTTTTTCTCAAGTGTCCGCCTGAATGCCCACTGTGCGTATGGTCCGGTCCAGGACGAAGTCGGACCGGATCATAATCCATTTGGTCCGACATGGTCCCTTAAAAAACCTAATGGTTTGAACTGGTCCCGGCTGGAAAATGTTTTTCAAAAATGTTTTGGTGATTTTTACGGAATTTCAACAGCCAAGAGATGTCGTCATGTTGTGGTTTTGACTGGAAAAGACGTATCTCGAGAACTTGTTAGTAACGTAACTAATTTGAATGGCGTCAAGAAACTCCCTTAGCAGAAAAGGTGGTCGAGGGTAAAAAAAGTAAGAGACTAAAGTAACAAACTATTTTTATCATTGTCAGCCAATAAGCAGTAAGTGTAAGTAAAGTAAATATGCACTTTAAGTGCATAAGTGCCCTACTTTTACTTGCTGCTTATTGGCTGACTACTGATAGAAATAGTTTGTTACTTTACTTTGTTACTTTTTTTACCCTGGGCCGAGAATGGTATTACCTACATAAAAATTGAAATTCAACAGTTTTACTTTACACAATAGAACTGGATCTTTAAAAACAGAAAAACATTTTTATGGTCCGAAGTGGTCCTGGTTCCAAATTTTTTTATCGAAAATTGTCTGAAGCGGTCCCGGTCCTAAATAGTTATGGTCCGGTCCCAAAAATTAGGATCAGACCGGACCATACGGAGCCCTGGTAACCAGCGGAATATTTTTCTGAGAAACAGCATCGCGAAGTTTTTCTGTTATATATTTTTCTTTTTCCTGAAGGTGGGTAGTAAGCGAGAAAAAGTAGTGGCTTAGCCAGGATCATTGTTAGTGGATGAGCGTTTTTCAAATTTTCTCAAAGCGGTAGAAATACGAGAATGTTTACTTGGTTCTCAGAGAAATCTATATCAGAATCCTGCTGTTTTTAATGGCACGCTTCTTCTTCAGTAGCAAGAAATATCGCGGCACACAATCGAGAAGACCTCAGTCTTTGATAAGTATTTTATCAAAATAATGTGTATCTGACGAACTTGTCTGCACAAGAACAATTGCATCATATTCACTTGAGATTGATTCTAGGATTCTTATGTTGTTTGGAGAAAATATCAGCAACTTTTTGAAAATCGACCTGAATATCAAAGAGGTTCGACAGCCAAAGCTGTTAGATCGCTACGTCCTCCATAACCCATACTGTTCCTGGCAAATGTGTTTTTTTCAGTAAAGAACACTTCGGAGTATATGTCTTAACAAAGCTTTCGGTTCCCGGATTTGTAGTTTTTGATTAAAACAATTTTGAAGTTTTTTTCGAGCTTTTTGCCCCATTTTTAAAATTTCAGCGAAAACTTCATTTTTGGTATGCAAAGTTGATTCTACCGTTTTGGATCTTTCCCGAATAAAGTTTGACGCAGAAATTTAACTTTCACCTTCCCGAAGAGATTTTAGAGTTAAAAGTATTTTGAAAAAAGCCTTACGGCTAGTTTCGCTAGAAGCAAGCGTTTTGAAAAAAGCTCTCGTGAGGGACTCCGGAACTCGATCTTGAACAAGTTTTGCTCCAAAATGCTTGGTTCGAGCGAAACTGCCGTAAGGTGAGGTAAAAATATCTTCGCTGAGGCAAAAACCAGCGATATTTTCAAGCTTTGAATTTTTTCTTGAAGCCTTCCCAGTTTACAGAGAATACTTTGAAGTATATGTTCTGAAGTTTTCTCAGCTTACGTACATTATTCAGCTGCTTTATTCTGAAACCTAAACTATCAAAACACAAAATCAATCCTTGCACGAAGCTAGAATCGAACACACGAACTTGATCTTTGTGGGTGAACTACAAAAGTCAACTTTGCCGTTCTTTCCTATATTTTGCACAATGACTGAAGTTGTGCAGTTACTGAATTCACTACTGTTAACGCACAAAAAAACAAGTATATAAAATTGATATCTCTAACAGAGATCAGTACGGGCCGGGACAGAAAATTTAATAGGCTGGTCGGGCTGGGCCGGGTTTGGGCCGTAAAGTATTTTGGTCGGGTCGGGCAGGGCCGAACTTAGAATTTTTAAGCATGCGTGGATTCGTAATTTATGTGTACACTCGGTACCGAGAAATCATAAAAATAATATAAATATCAGCTTGAGAAATACATTTACACCGCTTAGTCAGAAAAAGCATTACAGTTGCAAGAAAAAAACCACCCAAAGTGGTCGGACCGGGCCGGGCGACAAAAGTTTCACGATTGGTCGGGCCGGGTCAGATAAAGTCTACGTTTAGTCGGGCCGAGCCGGGCTTGGTCCGGAAACTTTCTAGGTTATGATCAACGCCTGAAGATCCTCGAAAGTCGAGGTGGAACGCGTCACACCGATCAAGTTCTATTTTTAGAAAGCCTTACTACTTAGTCTGCGTGTTTGTTTCTTTTTAGTTCTTTTAGTCCGTTTTATCTGCTGTATAGCATCTGTTCATTATAATAAAAATGGCTAGTAACACTAGAACGACTAGCAACCTGAATAACATGCTAAATACAGAATCAGAGATAAATTCGATCAGACCGCAGAAATGAACAAGTTATTTGCAGGATGACGTGAGAAAGTCGGAACCTCAAATGAACAATGGGAAACACGACCAGAGATATACCTGGTCATAGACTGAATAGCGTACATTCGCAGTTAGATTCAGATAACGAGAATAATAGCGATGGTTGTTATGAAAACGAATTTGATAGACCTACTACTACCGTACCGCGAGCTTTACCTCGTACCGGTTATAGCAGAGGGCAACAATTACGTGACGGTAACAATCGAGAGTCTAGGTACTTACAGCAACCCGATGACTCTCGAAAGATACCTCACTATACGAACCAACCAGGACCTGGTCAGGTTCAAGAATCACGAGACGGTAACGACTCAGACTCTACGTACCCACAACAACCTAGAGTTTTTCGGAACCAGAAAAATGGCGCTAATTTTGAGTTTAATGCAAAATCGCTCAACTTAACGAGTTAGGTAGAAATGAATTAGGGGGTAGCCATTTCTACTTTTCATGCCATCTGAAAAAGAAAATGTTCGACAACGTGACAAGCTATTTTGCAGAAATATACGTTGTCTGGTTTCTGAGATGTAGGACCACCAATAAAAAAGTCGAACGAAAAATCAACAACAAAAACGATTGAAGCTCGATTATCAAAAGCTTCACAACGACGGTGGTTTCACTTGCGGTGGTTTCAAACGGGACATTGAGCGGAAGAAGAATGAAGTGTATGATGACGAAATGACCATTGATGAAAAGTACTCACAGTTTGTTGAGCACGTACGTGAATTGGGAACCAAATATTTTCAGCAAGAAAACAATGCTAAAAAGCGAAAGGAGTGGCTAACGGATGAAATTCTTGACATGGTAAAGAAAAAATCAGAAGCCTATCTCCACTGGCAAAACCGTCTTGGAAAACATAATGAACAAAAGTATAGGTCGAAATATCGGGCACTCGCGAAACTGGTGAAAAGAAAAATCGAAGCTCGACAATTCGAGTATTGGGACGAAATTAGTTGTGAAATTGAAAATGCTATAAAACAACATGATCCAGCGACAGCTTATGCTATGATAAGGCGATTACGAGGAAGAAACAAAAACATGGATAACACTTCCATTCAAGATAAAAATGGTAAGATGTTATTGAACTCCAAGGACAGGTTAAGTCGATGGCGGGAATATTTCTGTGAGTTATTGAATGTACATACAGTTATTGATCTAACGATTTTGCAACAGATTCCTATTCCAGCTATTGATAAAGCTGAGGAGACAAGACAGGATAAACCACCGTCCTTGCCTGAAGTTGTGCAAGCAATCAAACAGATGAAAAGTCGAAAAGCACCGGGTAAGGATGATGTTACGGCTGAATTATTGAAAGCCGGTGGTTTGGAATTAGCTCTGTGGCTACATCAAATCATAGTTGATGTTTGGATAAACGAGCAAATGGTAGAAGACTGGACGATGGCTATACTGATTCGATTGTACAAAAATAAAGGGGATAAACGTATTTGTGACAACTATCGCGGTATCTCTTTATTAATTGTCGTAAGTAAAATATTCTCTCGAATTGTTCTCAACCGAATACAAGGACTGCTCGACAAAAAGTTGCTAGATCAACAAGCAGGTTTTCGACCAAACAGATCAACAGTCGATCAAATTTTCACCTTAAAAATGATCATGGAAAAATCACAGGAATACAATAAATCATTGTTTATGTGCTTCATCGACATCCAAAAAGCTTATGATTCGGTTAATCGAGAGCTGTAGTGGAAGGTGTGTAGACATTATGGTTTGTCGGAGAAACTCGTTCGAATGCTAAAGCTTCTTTATACTAACACGAAAGCACAAGTGCGAATCGACGGTGATTTTTCGCAAACATTCGATATTGAAACCTGTGTCCAAGAAGGTGGAATTCCATCTCCCGTCCTGTTCAATCTCTTGTTTGACTTTATCATGCGTAAGATATTGGCTGAAGTAGGTGTATCTGGGGTGAAACTGGCATATGGAAATGGTGATTTTTATCATTCTACGCGAGAGGCACATGAAGATATTGAAATACTCTATTTGATATACGCGGATGACGTGGTGGCAATGTGCACAACAGCGGCTGATCTCGAAAAGTTTATTCGAACATTCGAGAAAGTAACTCAAGAATGTGGATTGACAATGAGTGTCAAAAAGACGTGCATAATGTCTTTAAAGCAGCTTAAAGAAGACGCGTCCAGAAAAGTAATCAAAGATCAGGAAGTGGACAATGTAAAAATTGATATTACGATCAGGAATCAAACCGTTGATATAGTCGAGTACTTTGCATATCTGGGGTGTTTCGCGACGAGAGATCACTCACAAGAAAAGGAAATTGAAACGAGAATAACAAAAGCATCTGGGGCGTTCAATATGCTTCGAATGCCGATTTGGTATCGTAAAACTGTATCGTGTGAAGCGAAAATGCGTATATTTCGTGCTTGTATTCTACCTGTTCGGGGAAGTGTGGGAGTGAAGTGTGGTCTCTGACAATGGCTCAAGAAAGATGGCTAAATACATTCTATATGGCTTGTCTAAGAACATTAGTTGGTGTAACATTAGGCGATCGAATATCCAATGAAAAACTTTTGGAACTGAGTGGTCAACCAATTTTGGAAAACATAATGAGAAGAAATCGGTTAAGGTGGTTTGGCCACGTAAACAGGATGGAAGATGTGAAAAAAAGCCGAAATTATTAAAGAAAGTTACGTTTTCGTATTTTCCTGATGCTCGAAGACCTCAGAACGCAGGCGTAAGAAAACGATGGGAAGATAAAATCGCAGATGATATTGCCAAATTCGGAATCAAGAATTGGAGGAGAGAAACGATGAATAAGGACAAGTGGCGTCAGATTATCAACAAATACGTGCAAATTAAACCCGTACATTCAAATATCCAAAAACTTGTGCATGAATATAAGGAACTAGCAAATCGGCGGCGAGCAGAAGAGCTTGCTCGAAGTAGTCAAGCTAACACAACCAGCACCGTAACTAGGCAAACTCCACCATGTCGACCGGAGTGGTCACAAATATCTG